TGTATTTTTTGTAGCTTTTAATAAGCAGTGAATCTCCAGTTCAATAATCAGATTCCAGTATATTTTAGAAGTAGTTTAGATCAGGATATTTTTTTCAGTATTAGCTCTCTTAGAGAAGAATATATCTATAAAAACCCGGGTCTTGTCTTTATTACTGGTCAGCTCCTTATTTTTTATCTTTAAATTTGGTAAGTATCCCCAGAAATTATATAGTTTTATATAGATTACTGTTTTTCAGAGTTTTCTCTTACTAGTCTTATTAAGAAAGTTTTTCCAATATAATATCTTGGCTTTTTTAACTATTTATATCTATACTTGTCATTTCTGGTATATATCAGTAAATAAAAATATAGAGATTATAAAATTTTATTCAGTATTATCGAACGGGGCTCGGAACATCAAAATCAACACTCAATCTAAACATGTCATTTTAACGCGTCAATCGATCGAGAAAGGCCCCCTGAGGCCCTAGGAACCGCTATGGAGGTCCCAAACTCCTATAGTGATGGTCTACCGAGCGCGTCGAGGTGGGTACTCCTAAACGGTGTACTACTACCACCATCACTACCATCACCAACACCGATATATCGCGGGGGCCCTAGGGTCTTAGATATACCTATAGATCTGGAGCAGATAAGCAGCAGCGAATCTAGTAGAGCCCCAAATAGGGCCAGCTCTAAAAGCAGCAGAACTACACAGAGCGCTTAAAGTAGCCGAAAGCGGGGGGAACATGATCAAATACTAGGACACAGTTTAAATCCCGGAAGATCTTTACGCAAACACTATCAAGCCCTAGCAGAATCGCTGGAAAGCCAGAAGCTCGAAAGGTAAACAGAGCTTGAAACAATACAGGCCTATATCAACCAGATAATTAAGACCCAGACAGTACAGCAACAGATCTATAAGCAGCAATATAAAGCCCGAATTAAGGCTCTAGAAGAGAAGATCCAGGAGCTTCAACAAGCTAAGTTTTCCTTAATAAATCCAGAACCAAAAACAGTACAGAATAAGCTGTTACAGGCTCCCCAGACCCCCCAGGCTACCCAGAACAGGAAGACAGAGTTTTCCACACATAGATTACAAAACAGAGCCGCGTCAAACAACAAGCCTAATAGGCCTGAGATTACATACACAGATATTGTAGCCCTACTAAAAACCAATTCTGGAGGACAGAGATAGCAGACAGTTACCAAGAAATACTATCAAAAGCAGTCTAGGAGTTAGACTGAAGTACTACCTCAGCTAAAAGCTGTGAAACGGACTCCGCTAGAGGCCCGGAGACTGATTTTCAGACAAGAAAATAGCCTGGAAGCGCCTAAGATAGAATATAAAAATATTATTCTAGGGCTTAATATTGCTCTTACTAAAGCAGAACTACCAGATTTTCTACAGATAGTAGATACAGGCTATACTCGGACAGGAGCCATATCTATTATCCTATAGAAAGGGGCTCTGAATCAAATACTATTATCTAGATATCTAGATCTATTAATAGTAGCTGCAAGAAAAATAGATTCTATAGTTATTTCACTGGAAATACCAGAGTAATAGTATAGGCTGAAAATCTATGGAGTCTCTACTAAACAATATCTTACACTAGGCCTAGGTCTAGCAAGGCAGGAAATTGAGACAGACAGCGCAGTACACCTAAAGCGAGACCCTATATGGCTAAAAAGCCCCAAGGGTCTAAGAAATAGTGCTCAAAAAGGATCTAGTATTATAATTATAATAGGATTACTAGTAGAGACTCAGCAGATTTAAACAAATGGTATATATTTCGGTGGCTCTAGATATAAGGTTGAGTATTTCTGGGAGTTAGGACCTAATACAGTTTGCCCCCGATGCTGCAGAATAGGGTATAAAAACTACAGGACTTGCGGCGATTGTCTATCAAAATACTTTATCTGTGCAGATCCCTACAAAGGTCTAAATTATAAATACTCAGTTCTGGGCTGCTCAGCTAGAGCTGGAAAGGCATGTCAACATACTCCAGCGAGATGTGGCAACTGCGGGGGCAGATATTCTGCACTAGCTGCAAGCTGCCCTAGTAAGCAGACAGCCCGAAAACAGCAAAATCAAGCGCCTGCTATACCACCGAGCTTACCAGCAGTTCAGGTAGTTATTAGAACATATCCAAGAAATATCTTATTACCTGATAGTCCTACTAGGGCGGCTCAGATACCTCTACCGACTACCCCCCGAGACTAGACTATGGAGGATTCTCAGACTCCTAGACCAGTAAGATCTATCAGCATATCCCAATACTGATAGTTCAGCAGAACTGTCGCAGAGCTTATCCTATTACTATAGCAGCCCTGGAAGCAGAGCTCCAGAGACAAGTAGATATAATCTATCTACAGAAGCCCTATATTGTACAGGAGTTCCGATACTCTGCCTATTTACTATATTGACTATAGAAAGAAGAACGTAAGTACTATAGAGTACTGATAGCAGTCCGAAAAGATCTTTTAAATCAAAAGATTACAGAAGTCAGAACTAATCTAATTAGCTATTCCTATATACTAGCCCTAGATATCTGGAATCTGGATAGGGGTGGGAACTGTGTTCGGGGAACAAGAATAGTAAACTACTATAATAATTGGCTGAGTAAAGACTACTGCTGGTAAGGCTCTAGTTCTAGACACCGCCGCGCTATTGAGGATACTGAATAGAATCTACTAGTAGAAAAAAGATATCTGATACTAGGAGATTTCAATGTCTACAGTCCTATATAGAATCCCTAGACTAGTCAATATATCAATACAGCGCCGCTGGAGGATTTAATTAAGAGATTTAATCTGTATATTAATAATAAGCCAGATATTTCTATCAGACCTAAGCGGACTCCTGGTATCTCAATTATTGATCTAACAATATCAACTCCAGAGCTAGGTCCCTTAACTAGCTGACTAGTTGATAACGAATATCCTACAGGATCTGATTATAAGCTGATATTATCTGAATAGGAAGAGCTAGAACAAAGACCTAAAAAAACCAATATACAGGTGACTGGATAGCAAATTAGGGATCTGGAAGCAGATCCAAAAGCCTTAGAAAATACTAAATAGATGTGAAAGGCTCTAGCAGCTAACCAGCCAGCTCTACTGGATAGCTGTAGTAAGGCGGAGATAGAAAGCGAGACAGTATAGCTACAAACAGCTCTGACAGAGATACTAAGTAAATACACAAAGTCTATACAGATAACCCCATTCTCTAAACGATAGTGGGGCCTGCAGGTCAAAGCCAGCCGGCAAGAATACACACAAGCTAAACAGATATAGACAACAGATCTAGACACTGATCAGGATTTAAAGAGGGCCCGGAATAGCTACTATCAATCTATTAGAAAGACAAAGTACGAATACTAAGAGACTTTTCTAACCGGGCAGTTAAGCAAGGCAAAAACAGAGTCTAAAGAAGAATTAGATCCTAAGAACTCAACCCGATACTGGCAGATACTAAGATACTGTAAACCCCTAACTACCGGAACTATACCAGTACTCAAAAGCTCTCGGGGACAGTAAGCAACTACCCTAGAGATAAAAGAAGCTCTGATCAGAGAAGTCCTATTTCCTAAAATTTCTAGAGATAAGACAATAGAAGCAATTCCTCAGAGAACTATATATCTACAGGTAAACTATAATATAGTTTAAAAAACTCTTTTTAGTCAGATAGTTCAAAAGGCACCCGGAATAGACTATCTTAACTTCCGGGCACTGAGACTACTATAGAGCTGGGATACCACACAAATAGTAGTATTAGTACACCAGTACTTCAGACTGGGGCTACACCCACAGATATAGAAGACAGCAAAGGGGATCCTACTGCACAAGCCTAATAAGCCCGACTATTCAATAGTCAAGGTCTACAGAGTAATCAGTCTACTGAATTATATAAAGAAGATAGTAGAGAAAGTAGTAGCAGAAGCTATCTCTAGCTACTACAAGACAGCCGGTATTCTATATCCAGGGCAAATAGGCAGCCGAAAACAACACAGCGCAATTGACACAGTAGTCTACCTGATTTAAGAGATACACCAAGCATGGGGCCAAAAGCAGCTGGTTGGAGCCCTCTTTATAGATATAAAAGAGGCCTTTGACCACGTGGACGCTATAAGACTAGTGAAACAAATACTAGATCTAGGCCTAGACAGAGATCTATATTGCCTCCGAGCTGTATATGCACAACGGGCAGGGTATACAATACAGTCATCATGCAGAGTCATCATCGGATCTGTGACAATACCCATCCACGACCTGATTTTTAGAGCTTACAGTATATCTCAGCTAGGCTGGCGAATGGCTAGGTTATCTATACCTAATTGTAACTAAATTGAAAATTAAATAATTAATCTAGATTAATTATTCTTATTGCTAAGCCCACTATATTTTATTTAATATAATTAATAGTAAACTTAGCTAGCTGTAATTAATTTACTATTAATCTACCTGGACGGCTAGCACCCGGAGAATTATTCTTTATGTTATTAGCCTGTAGGGACCCGGGACGCCGATGCCAGCCTACGAGAAAATAATCATGACCAAACATATCAGTGACACGATGAGCTCGTAGCACTGACACAACTGAACGTATCGATGACACGAAGGATCGTAGCATTGACAAGATGGAAGTATGGGACTACGGGATATATAATGGTTCATCCCAGGGTCTCCCTGCCATGGGCCATTAATGCAGAATTATAGTCTCTTGAAGTAGACCCCACAGGACGGGCAAGTAACGAGAGAAGCCAATGGCAATGTAGAATGGTACAGCGCTGGTTGCAGGGAGGGACGAGACTTGATTTAACAGCCCATGCACCTATCTCAGTCTTAGAATTGATCCGTGGAGTTGTTCCGGCGCATTATGTTCCACAGTCTCAGAGTTAGTCCGTCCGTTGAGTTGTTCCGGTGCACTAATAAAATGTCGCACACGTACTACACACTTTGTTTTCTTGACTGGCTCTTAGTGGTATGTCTCTTGATATTCAAAAGCAAAACAACATGCGATCAGTCCAGTCCATCGCTGCCGTTGTGCCGGCACAGTACAAAGCCCTCGAATTTTGGGAGTCAGAAATCCCTCCTCCTCCCGCCGGGGGCATAAACGTGGAAGTTAATATGGCTGGTGTTTGTGGAACTGACTTGCATATTTATAAAGGAGATATTGGCATGGATTTTGCGCAGGTTCTCGGCCATGAAGGAGTAGGAAGAATTTCAGAACTTGGTGAAGGAGTTACCAAGGACCATGCAAATAAAGCAATCGCAGTGGGAGATATGGTTTACTGGTGTCCGATGAGACCATGCCATGCGTGTTATTCTTGTACTGTACAGCATGATTTTCCATCTTGTCCAAATGGCGGCGCCTTTACCGATGCTCGCAAGCCGACAGCTGCTTCATACACTCAAGTTGCAACGCTCCCGAAGGCGATTAGCTTTTACAAAATCGACCCCAGCTGTCCTCCAGAAGCTGTGATTGCTCTAGGATGTGCCCTACCCGCCGTGCTCCAGGGACTTGACCACCTTGGCGGCATCCCTTTCAATTCTACTGTGGTGATTCAAGGAGCGGGGCCTATTGGACTGGCTGCCGTTATGCTTTGCAAGCTCGCGAGCGCTAAGAGTGTTATTGTGATTGAGGGCAACCCGGCTCGCTTGGAGATGGCCCGGCGCTTTGGAGCAACTGACACTATCAACCTTCGAGAATACGGCTCGATCGCTGAGCGAGTTGCAAAGGTGAACGAGATCACCAACGCACCGGGAGTTGATATTGTCATTGAGGCCACCGGTCGAGTCGAGGCTTTTGAGGAAGGGGTTAAATTGCTGCAGCGCATGGGCCGATATTTGTTGATTGGAATGTGGGCGGGGGAAGGGAAAGCAACCGTTGAGCCTTTCCAAATTGTGCGCAAAGCGCTGCAGATCATTGGCACGACATATGCCGCGCCTCAACATTACTTTCAAGCCATGAAATTGGCTGAGATGTATCACGAACGGTTTCCTTTGGCAGAGTGTGTGACCCACAGGTTCCCGTTGAGAAAGACCCTACAGGCCTTTGAGGCCATCACCAAGGGTGATGCTGTCAAGGTTGTGATCGAGCCCAATCATTGATGATGATTTTGGAACCATTCCAGATGGAATGAGGCTGAATGTGTGGCGCAAGTGGTCCTAGTGGGTGAAATGCAACATGCACGATGTCCCACAATCAACCATGAATATGATCTATATTATAACTGATTCTAATGAGCTGTTTCGCGTGACATACACTTAGCGTGCTTGACTCTTTGAAGGTGCGAGTAAAGATGTTGATTTTCGTGCAGCTCATTTAAATAAATTCTTGATGTCATGTCTATAAATCGATGCTTAAATTTCAGGGGTATAACTGAGTTTTGGAAAATCCCGACTAGATTTCCCCATTCACGGGCTGGACTCTGTTACAGCTTAAAAAAGTTTCCCTTTGCGGACCCAGTCGTATGACATGACTTTAAGCTCCCAGTGCATAGTACCGTGTCGGGTTATGCCTTTCACCAGCAGAAAGAATATTATTTCCTGCTCGACTCTTGCCTTTGGGGTGACGGAACTACTACGAGAGAAAAGTAAAATAAAATAAAAGACTTAGACTGGGTTAATACACTAATGATGATGATGATGATTTCATTTACCCTGACCCCTCGCTATGTTGATTTCACCACTAGACTAAAATACGAATCCGCACCCAGTCTAGTGGGTTGTGTTTTATAATCCAATTCGCTAAGCGATATGCAGGCTACAACAACTATATATATCCGAGTAACATGTTACTGTAAAAAAAAATAATAATAATAAGCCACGCAACTGTATAACTGTGTGTTTCTCTAACGAATTATTCTACGTGGTAGAGTGAAGGCTAATGCCAAGATTTCCCTTTCAGCAATTACCGTACTTGATCACCTGACGCACGTCCCCACCTGCTGCACGGATTTCTATATACACCGACTTTTTGGCTTCAACTTCAAACCATCACAACTCCGTCAATATAGGTTCAATTAATGAGGCGCTTGCTTTTTTAAAATCCCTAGATCCAGGAGAATTATTTAAATATGCAGAAGTAGTCAAAAGATTCAGTGTTGATTGTATAACACTCTCAAGACATCACCGGGATGTTATACATTCAAAAGAGAATCAATATAAAAACCAGCGATTACTCAACAGCCAGCAAGCCAAAACTCTTATAAATTATATTAATAAACTCTCTGAGAGAGGCCTATATCCTATCTCTGAGATACTTCAGAATTTTGCGAAAGAGATCTCAGGAATAAAACCTGGAAAGCACTAGCCAAGCCGTTTTCTAAAGAAGTATTAGAATGAGCTGATCTCTCGCTATACTACTGGAATCGATTCTATACACAAGAGAGCTGATTCTGTATTTAAGTATACTCTATACTTTGAGTTACTCGCCAGAAAGATCAAGGAATATGAAATACAGTCT